TCTCCTCAAATACTTTCAGAACGGACACACTCAGAATCCACATTGCCAAGCTCTTGGCTCAAAGCTGTGTGCACCCTAACATGGGTATTTTAAAAATTTACATCATATACATATACTGAGCAAGCAGAAATTCTGCTAAAGGCAGCAATATGCACTGAAATACAATAATATTTGGCACTAAATCTGGATTTAGAAATAACTGTCTCCCCTACTCCCTATGCTTTTTAAATCCTGAGCTGGTATGCCCAGAACATATTTTTCTCAAACTATGTGACCTAAAATCTTTGAGCATCAGCAGACCGCCAGTACTAATCAAAACTACATTAATAACACAACCCACTTAACTAGTCAGAAAGCTCATTGACAAATATAGTTTATCTCAGTTATATCTTAGAATAATGACTACAATTAAGATTTTTTTGTGTGTGCTGAGAGTTAAGGATGTGCTGCCAGGAAGATTTTGATTTTTCTAAAACATTCAGTGCTTGCTTGCTTGCTTCCTTAACAGCTTCTACCTCGGCACAATTACACAACTTTAGAAAGGCATTAAAAATCAAGCACGAATACTGCTGCCAAAAACCTTATTAGGAAAGGCTGACAATCTTTTTGCTTAGGGAAAAGTTTAAAGAATGATTGAAGAGTTTATAAAAGAACAAGTGGTATATAGATAAAAGAGGAAGGTGCTGAAATCAGGAACTATCTGGCAGTAAAACTTACAATACAAGCATTAAGTAAGTTAAACAAGGATGAAAAAGTGAGCAAGACTGCTTGTCTAAATATTCATCTCTAAAACAAAACGTAAATACTTCAGAAAACAAATCCTATTGTGAACAGTAGGTATGACCACTACCACTATTCATTCGCTGAAATGATTCTCACATAGTCTTAAACACAAAGAAGAGTCTTAAGTACAAAGATGCATATAACATTGTGAAATATACTGAATTGGGAGAATCAACATCATTAGCTCATTCCATTCAACACTAGTTTTACCAGTGTATGCCAAGGTTAATCTTCTGTTGCAACTGGAAACATATCTGTTACCAAGAGATAGGCTGCATGGCCTTGTTCAACATTAGCACTTGAAGACAACTGGAAGGCAAACATGCTACCTTTCTCAAAGCCTTTCAGTTCTTTTTAATAGCAAGCATTAAGGAAATCTTATCATTTTTTTTTGTTATTTAACTACAAAAATATTGATGTAGAAATTATGGTACAGGAAAATCGCTATGTATGCAACTGATATTTGTAAAGTACAACCTATGTACTATTTCAGCTTCTAATTCTCATTTCTAACAAATTCATCCAGTTAACCTCTTTCAGAACACCTTAATGTGTCAACATGGTTAATTACATGCCTCTCTTGTTGAGTTTAGGCAGAAACAGCTCTATTGTTAATTTTTAGTTTTGTTTATAGGTTTGTTTTCATCTGAGTTAAGCATTTCTAACGGCTTCATCTTATAAAGATTCTGATTTAGCAATCTTGCAAAGCAAGAAATAATGTGAACTAAACTTTTTTCTTCAAAGACATGTATTTATTGGTGTATGAGCTAATTTAATTATTGGTTCTTCTGCTTGGTCTTGTTTCTAAATGTGCAACCTGCCCACTCTCTTTTGTCAGTTGGGACATTAGAGCTTTCCACAAGCTGGTTTAACTCACTGAAATTATAAAAAAATATACCTCCTCCTTCATTTCTGATGAGTTACATGCTCATCAGATGGACCACGATTAGAGGAATATGAAATATACCTATTAACTATATGAGCACAATATGTATTATGAGCACAATTCAGTACTAATCTGCAGAAAATATACCTAAAACTTCCCAAAGTGAGTTACTGAAGTGCATCCTGTACTGTAAACATTATATACCTTGTTATAATGTAAACATTATATACCTTAAGGCTAGATTTTTCACAGTTATTTCAAACAGATGGCTGTGGCTATCAATTTTGATAATCTCATCTGCTGGCTCACCCCTCAGGATTCTCCCTGCCCCACCTCCCCCACATCCTCATCTGGAGGTAGGGACAAGTAGGTCTGGGGTGGGTGTTACAGGCATCAGCCTACATATGAGCTCAATTACACGGTCTCTTTCGCTTTGAAGTTTAAAACTAGGTGTTTAAAACCCACGTGATTTTTAGGAAGAAAACAATGTAATAAAACGCAGGGAATTGTAGGTCAAAGACCAGCTCTAATGCTCCAATCTTTAAGAGGTCAATATCTTTACCTATTAGCTGCGCCTTGTAAGAATGACTGCTTTATGAGCACAAAACTGCCCTGCATAGTAGTAATTGTAAATAATTTTCACCATATAGTTAAGAAAAATACATCAACGTAGTAGCAGGTTACAGCTCCTAACGGGACTCCAAAAAGTAAAACTATGAGGGGAAAAAAAAAAAAAAAAATGTTACTATCAGATTTTGATTTATATATAAGTGGCAAAGGAGAAGAATCGGAGTCCATGATGACCACACACATATATCACCAATTATTCCCTTGAAATATCCGTGCTCATCAGTTAAAGGCATCTGATATTTCAAAATTAAACCACACAGACAATCTATTGATGTGCTATTGTATAAGACAGTACATTCACAAATAGGTGAGATGTCAGGGAAGGATTTTTCTTCTCTTGAAAGAACATCTATGATATCTGTTATCATTCAGAGGGAAAAAGGAAACTGCTTGGATTGTTTTGCTATTTACAGGAGATGAAGAATCTAAAGACTCTGATTCAAATCATTGGAAGAAAGGCTCTATGTGTTTAAATAATCTTAGGTACTGTAATTATTACACTATGATGGGTAATCTAAGAGGTAGGCCACTTCTGCAAAATCCAAGACGACAGGTGAACGCAAAACCCAGGCTCTGAATGGTTGAACTGAAAATCAATGACTACAGATGGTCAAGACAACGGGACATGAAACTCTGACAACCGTTTTACTGAAAAGATGACCATAGCACATACTTAATCAGGAAAGGCTTTGGGCTTTATACATCAAATCGAACACACTCAGGTTCATAAGCCTAGACAACACATCTCTGAATAACAGGATTTTTCTCTAAATCCAGATTTTCCACAGCAATTTGTAGTTCTCTCTGTACCTACTGTTTGCCTCACATTAATAGATTATTGTGCAAATCAGTACAGAGAACTATACCAGCTACAATTTTATAAAGAAGGCTACTCACAATGGCAGGGCGATGCAATTTGTTTGCATTTTGCTGAAATGGTTTCCATTACACTTCCACATTGTCAAAAAGGGATGACACTTAGTAATATCTAAGCAGCTCAAATAATGCATAGACATGTTCCTTGTAAGCAAAGGATATCTTTCTATAGCTGTGACTGCAGCTAGCTTTAAGTTGTCATGTACGTTATTAACAACTATAACTACAAAAGTCTAAAAACATGAAAAAAATTCATCAAGTCTCTCCCTATCCTACCAAACAGCTAAAGAAGCTTAGCATAAATTTACGATTTGCTGCTATGACCCAAGAATGTAAGCACAGTAAAAAAGAAAATGTTTAGATTAGTAGCCTCATGAAATGTTGGCAAGATAGCAATACCTCACTGACTGTGCTAGTGAAAGATGATTGATTTCATCAATTGTGAAAAAAGGCAGTTAAATGTCTTAATTAGAATGAAAGTATTTCTTCTAAAAATGTGCCTTCTCTCCCTGATGACCTTGAGGGATCGCAAATAAGCACCTTTTTGCAGTGGAACACCTGAAACAGGTGCCTTAATTATTAAGTGTGCCTTATCTTTTATTTAAGAAACATTAGAAGAAAGCTTTCCTACTCCCTCACAAGTAAAGACAGTTTCTGACCTATCAGCAACCCACCTACATTTTCAAATTTATTTTTATAGGTCATTGTAAGCTAACTCTCTCCAAAAAAAAAAAAAACCAACCCAAACCAAAGCAATAAAAATCAATCCCCACACCACCACACTTTAAAGCATTTTTTTTTTCTCTAACTCTGGAACACTATTCAGGTTCTATTCTCTATCTTCTTAAGCATTTTAAGCATCCTTTCTGGAAGTTATGCTTGAGAAAGTGAAGAAATTTACTAATTGTCTAATTGAAAAAAAAATATACATATATAAACCCCAACTCTTTATTTTTAACCCATTGGTTATATATTCAAAGGTTATAAGCTGCTCACTTCTTTTCCCTAAGTATACTGTACTGAAAGTTCTTTTTCACCCATTATGCTCCAAAATCTCCTTCAGAGACAGCACTATATACAAACACTTTGTATCCATTACTCCTTACTACTCCATAAATAAAAATGTTAGTAACTTTTCTTTCTCTACTAAAAATGAGTCAGAAGGAATATTCGGTAACACTCACTATTTGCACACCATGTAGAATAAGTAATATTGTATTCAAATAATTACTGAAACAATTACTGAAACACAGAATGCTATGGCTAAGTAAAAGAGGTTATTATTAAAAGTAGTTTGATACAGTTCTTGAAATTGAACAAGAGTGATGACAGTGCAGAAATAACACATTGCTGCAAGCAGATACTCCATTAAAACGCTACACCTAAACCCAGTCAGACAGCCTAAAAATTTAAACAAACATACGAACGATCCTCTGCTCTTTCTGTTGTATTTATAGGCAGTTGTCTTATTCAGGAATCCAATTGCTTTGCATTAAATCAGCCCACCCTCACAAGTAAACCCCCTTGAAGTACGTGGACTCCTTGAGCAACACGACCCTTTAGAAACTCCCCCAGAGACAGCAGACCCTGCCGTGGCCGTTCCCGCAGCCTCTCACAGCGGCACCGGGCTCCGCGCTCCCCTTCTACTCTGCCATGCCACTGCCCCGCTGAGAGAGCGCACAGGACACCGCGACCCGGCAGCGCCGGCTCCCAGGCGGGACGCAGGGCCGCGCGGGCCCGGCCCGGCCCGGCCCGGCGGAGGGGACGCGGCCGGCCCCGGCCCAGTGGAGGGTACCCGGCCCGGCCCGGCGAGGCCCGCGCTCACCTTGTCCGAGTCCAGGTCGGGGTCGGCCTGGCAAAGGCGGAAGAGGAAGGACTTGGGGTCCCTGCAGAGCGTCTGCCGAGTGGTCAGGAAGCAGGTACCCCCCACGTTCAGCCGGACCCACTTGCCGGGCACCGCGCCGGGCGGCGGCGCCGAGCTGCACCGGCGGCAGGGCACGCCCGGGCCTCCCAGGCCGAGGCCGCCGATCGGGGGAACCGGGAAATCGCAGTGGTTCTCCGCCGCCATCCTCGCCGCCGCCGGAAGCGTCCGCCCCAGCTCCAGGTCCCCGGGCGCACCTCCCACCGGAAGCGTCCCCTGCGGAAACGCTCCCTTCCCCTTCCCGTGCAGCGCCTGCGCGGCGGCGGTCTCGTCCGCCGACGCCGTGGAGGACGGCGAGCAGTCGCGTCCGCGGGGCGAACGCCGGCCTGGGCAGAAGGCCCCGAGCGGCTCGCCCGCTCGCCCTGCCTCCCACAGCGCCGCCGCCGGGCCGGAGGTCCCGCGCGCGACCCCCGACCCCCCGGAAGGAAGAGGCGGAGGCCAAGCCAGGACCCTACATGCCTTTATTACAGACTACCAAGCATATGTGAAATCCATCATCCAGTCACTAACTACACATCTACAGCACAGAGATCTGTCGAGAGGAGAAGAAACAGTCATTAAATTATGAGATATGATTAAATCATCGACCAATAGAAAATTTATATAATAAAGCCAGAAAAAAGTTGTAAAATATAGTTTACAATAATTATTCACATTCAAGGCTGTACATCAATACATACAACACTATGGCCCCGAACATGAATTCAATCCAAATAATTCATATATTAGAATTTAAATAACACAGACTGAACTAGAGGCCAACAAGAGCCAGCAAATAACCTTAGAAGAATAAAAATACAAAAGTGTGTATCTTATATCATTGCATTATTTGCTTCTGTTTTCACGAGTTCTTAGAGGAGAGGAGATTGTTTTGTGGTGGTTGTTGAGGAGGTTGGTTGGGGTTTTTTGGTTTTTTTTTTTTTTCTTCCTTTTTTGCTATTATCTGTACATCACAGTTACAGCTACAAACCAGGTAGAGATTATTACACACGCAACTGCCACCAACCTGAAAACAGCTAGCATACAACTATCAAAACTGATTATTGTTCCTGGTTCCTATTTTTTCTCCTGTCAGAGACAGTAATTGTAAGCTCTGCTACAATTTTGAACATTTGCCACATCCAATCAGAGTTATTACGTGGTCATAGGAAGCTTTGTCAAATGGTAACCATCTACATTCACTACCATGCTGACAGACAGACTAGGATATTGGGTGCTTAAGAACCTCTCCAATTATTTCCTGTACAAAGTCATATTTCTTCCAAGAAGAAACATTCTTAAATTACCAGTATTAACTGAAAGCATGCCATTTTGGGTCGGATAATTACTTGTCTGTAAGCTCACTTGATCAACTGATGGACAATCTGTGTCATGAAGCTTTCCAGGAGCACTTCCATTTGATTAATAAAATATTTGCATAAAATATTACAGGCATTCAGCAAAATTTCAGATATAAATACCACACCTATTCATGTAATTCACTAGTAGAAAGAATGATCAGAATCCACAGACCACATCTTTAGGTAACTATTAATACACAACAACTCTCCTCAGCAAGGTGTTGAAATCAAATGTTTTGTCCACAGGCCAAATGAAGTAATTGTGTTGACTTTTCTGAATTGTTCAAAAAGAAACTGTTAAATGTACATGTGGGAAATCCTCAGGATTCTTCAAAGCTCCCAGCACGACACATAATGATATCAAGTACATTAAATTAAGCATCTTAAACTATGAAAATGGATTACAATTATCACATCTGTCTTTCAACCTACAGTTTCTTCTGGGCTTATATATAGCAGATACTTCACAACTAAATCATGTCAAAAAGAGACAAGTAAGTGGAGCACAGTACTATCTGATAGCTTATCTTCAGCGTCTAAGTGTTTAGCAAATGAGGTCTTAGTAGGTAGTATCAGTCTGCTCACATTGGCTTAACATCACATCCGAAGCAAGTCTTCCTAAACATAAATCCTTCTCAAAACTGGACTTTAAGGCCAATAGTAATAAACATCTCTCCAGTTGATCAAAGTTTCAAACTTCCTGCAACTGTGCTGGACACTGAATAGAAAAGTATGATTCAAAAATCCTTTCTAGCAGTAGTACTTCATCCTTTCCTCCATCCCACAGAAAACAGATACAGTAAACACCTTGGTGAAGTTCAAATCCCAAGAAAAACAAAATTACAACATTACCGACCAGATTCTTTATAAGTGACTGGCAATTGTTCAAAATGGAAAAGATGGAATGAATCAATCAATAGATTGGATTTTCAGCAGGTTTGCAGTGAGGAGTTTGAAGAAGAGTCTTCAAGTGCCTAAAACCCCTTTTTTTGCTTTGAAAGACCTTGGATAAAGAGCAGAGAAATGAACTGGCTTATCTGCAGCTCTGAAGAACCTCCCTTGTACATTTCATTCCATGAACTCCCATGAACCTCACGGGGGATCTTCAGGACAAAGATCTGAAGCTACCCCACTTCAGGTATAAGCACTTAAAACAGGAACCAGCCCTTCATAGTATGCAGCACCTGCCAATACACATTTAAGTGGACAAACTGGTGAAACATACTCAAATCTACATAATTGCTTTGTCTTGCCTCACACTGTTCTTCTGCCACCTTTCAAAACCACAGATTTCACTTACAGTCCAAGACAGATAAATACCTCTCAGAAAAGTTCTAGTCCCTTCCCAAAAAAGCAGCAGCTAAGGAAGACTTGATTTGGAACGCTGAAGTTCTAGGGGGAGAGATGCCTGTAAGAGATGCTCACAGTGTTCTAATGACAGCATTGTCAAAAGAAAAAAAGAATACTAGAATGCAGATATCAGCCTTCTAGACACCTTCTTGACAGCTTACTGCTATCAAGACTTCTTCAGCTGAAAGCTTTTGGTGGGTAGGACAGAAGTCTGAGAGAGTATTTTCAAGGTGTAAAAAAGCAGAGTAATTACTTTGTTATGGCAAAATGACTACAAGTCTAAATATTACAGAAAACACGCTTAAGCATTCCTAGATTTCCATCTAGTGAACAAGCCAATGGAGATCACTCCATCTCCTAACGATGCTAAGGTGTTCACTATTAACAGAACAACTTTGCCAGACTTTTCATGTGAGGCCAAGTTTTGTCACAATAAACAGCAGCAGCACCATTAATCTCCATCGCTGCCAAACTCTCCTGTATAAAGTTGGGAATACATCTACATCTCTATATCAAAGACTAAATCCAAAAGCAGTAGGGTTGCCTCCAGTGGACCCAACATACAGCTGGAATTTGACTGACAGAGAACAAATGGATAGCACTGCAACAAAATTCCAATACATCATCTTGGTTAGAATGGTAAATACAAGATTAATACAAGCACAGATAGAAGGTGTACTGTGCTATTCAAATTTTAGTGACAAGGAGTGTACCTTGTATGTGATGAAATTTCTCATGATGCAAAGAGAATGGTGTTCCATTTTTCTCATCTCAGCCATTTACAGGACACCTTAGCTCCCTTAACACCATGCACTATAAGCTAGTGATTTACTTTTTTCAAGTCTGTGTACGTGGTGAGGTAACAGAATACAAGAATGTAATTCCTCCAGAAGAAAAGGCAACTGCACCCCCACCTTTAAAGACTGAAAGATAATGGAAAAGTTGAACTGTCATCAAGTTCAGCCACATAACACAGTTTTTAAGAGACCAATAATAAATCTTCTTCACTCTGTACAACAACAAAACATCCATTTTTGTGTTTTCTGAGAAATCATAAGCCACTGCTTTTAAAATACTACTTCTAGAACAGTAGCCCATGGGTTTGTTCAACATTGTAGTGGAACATTTCTTTCTTTGGTGGAAGGAAAAGCACATCATAGTATGAGACCTCAAAATGCAAAGAGATTGTATGTGTGATGAATAGGTGTGATGTTTATACTGCTTTTGAAACAAGGAAGGAATGACTTTGTCCAGACCTAGGTCATCCCTCTGCAAGATTCAGGAACATGTTGAAAATAGAGTTAGGGAAGTTGTTATTAGCACATAGAAAGTTATGTCTTTGTAATGTTACAAGAAATGTTTGACCACAACAAAGAAGCCTTAATTTGAATAGGATAAAGAAGATTGATATGAAAAATATTTTTGTTTTATAGATATGCCTTAAGTACCATATATTTTCCCCTTTGTATCAACATTTTCCTTTGAATTTTTACCCAGATTACTTTATGGATCTAATATTTCAGAGTTGCTAAGTATTTGGCCAAGGACCAAAAATAGGATTATTTGCACATCTCATTATACAATGAGACAAAAAAAAAAAAGTCAAGTAATCAATTGTACAAAGCTTTCACACTTCCTTCTCTACCCAGGTAAATAGGTTGGTCCTACTAAAATGCACAATACATACATACTCTGGAAAGAAAGCTTCTAGCTCTCATCTCCTGAAAAGGTGAAAAACTATTTATTACTTCAATAGTAACTTTCCACCCTCCCCCCCCCATACTAACTAGTTAATTTTTTAGTTAGCATTAGCTAAAAGCATGCTGGTAAGTTTATTGTCCCTCGATTAAACACACGTTTCATATTAAAACTTAAATTGAATGTTTAAAATCTTGTAAGCTTCAGAAGCCATCATTTTAATTTTAGAAAACTTTCAGTGCTGTGTTCAGCATCTACTCTCTCAAAACCTGTATCATTGGAGCCTGTCTGCCAGACACATACATCTGATTCATTCACATAATTACTAAAGTACCACATAAATCCTGCAACCAGAACTATATTAGGAATTACACAAGGGTGCAACTGACCTGGCTACAAATGCCATATACCAATAAGCTGGGGGACTGTGAGGAAAGGAAGAGAAAACAAAGAGGTGGTGCTTAGGTGAGGCATATAAAAGCTCCCTGATGAAATACAGTTTAATGATAATCTGAAAGTCACAGAAAACTCCAGCCCCATAAAATGCAAGGCTGGTACATGATTCGACATGTGTGCGTGTGGATTGGTTTTAACTCATCTTAAGTGAAGCTGGTAATGCAAGGTCTATCCACTAGTCTGCAGCAGAAATTGAGCTGAAGTGCACAAAAGCAAGATCTTCACTGCAATGATATGCATGTGGAAGCCTCAACATAAGCACAAAGAGCGAGCAAAGCGACCCTGAATTCCATTAGGTTTTTGCTTTTCTTTTTTTTCTTTTTTTCTTAAAAAAAAAAAAAAAAAACAAAACAGAACATTTCAAACATATGCTTCCCCTTGAGATGGTAATAGGTGGGTTGAAAAGATTCCTCTGATCGGCTGCACACGGAGTTCTAGCAGCAAGTAGGGAAACTGGGAAATTTTGGATGAGCTTTACTATTTAGCAGCATTCTGGTGGTATCTGT